TCCTAATTACAGCTTTTTTGAATTCATTTGCAGGTGAGATTGGTTTGTTTAACAGGCCATGAAAATAATTGTACCAACAGTCCGCTTTAATTTCATTGGTTGGTCACATTTTTCTACTGATAACAATAAACGCTATCATGAATAAGTCATCTCGTAGTATGTTATTACGGCGATGACAACACATTAGACAGTTGACATTGGGCGCTGTGGCAGCCGATATTCCATTGGGATTAATAGCGCCACAAGACTTGTTTCTCTGCTTCCGAATAGTGTTCATCTTGTTATTGTGCCCACTGATTGCCTAATTAAAGTAATCACAATATTTGGGATAGTAGACGCGATGAAAGACAAGAATGGGGTCAAAAACAAGTCTGTCTCGCTATCAACGTGATATCGGCGCCCATTTGCATCTCAGGAAAATCGTCAAACTTAGAATACAGCGACTCACCTGTAATGACAAGCTTTCTGGTCGAAGGTGCACTGGAGGATAAAATCTTCAGGCTGGTGACCAAGCTCTAAAGTCTCATTCTGCGACAACTTTATCAGTCCTTGTAAGTCGGAAAAATCAGGGGTGGAACTAAACGTCATAAATCCATACCAGTCTGGTGGCACTTCGCTCTTTACTCGGTCGAATCCTGGATCGCGATAGTAGGAATTCTCGAATTGATATATCAGATTATAGAAATCGTCCGATAGTAGATCTTCAAATTGGCGGGACCAATTATCTGGTAATTCGCTGGTCCTCGTGACACCAATTACTAAGGACAACATATAACGAAATGATTTATAAATAGTCCGTTACGTCACAGGTCAAAGGTTACATGAAGGTATTATCATGAATACTCAACTATTTAATTCTACGAAGGCCGGGTTCACTGTATTATAGTATGTTACCGTGCACAACTTTGGGTTTTTGAATTGGTCTAGTTGCCAGCCTCCGTCAACATATTTGTATACTGCACAATGTAAGAATTAATTATGTGTATTAGGTTATGTAATATATATAATTGTGTAACTTTCCGACCCAAGCGCTCATAATTTAATACGTTTTATACAAAGTAAATTTCAGTACCTTCAATTAGGATGAATAAATGTACAACCTGATGCAATCATCTGATTGGCAAAAATTAAGTTAAATTGTATCATTATATAAATATTACCTTCATGACACTCAGTGATGTTACAGAAATCCCAGCCTCGTTTATCGGCGGAGTCATCTACGTGGTAACACCATGGTCTGACCATGGATGAACTTGTACTCGGGTTACGACAATACGTTGCTTCAAGTCCTGTATAAACGAACAACACACTGACTACAATGTATGTTCACTCTCCGATAGCCGGAATTTTGTTTTCTCTAATTTTTATTTCATTTTCTAAAATTTATTGGTAATGATGGACCAAACAGACACAAGTTTACATTTCCTACAATCCATTTCATTTTTGTAAAAAAAAAGGAAAACAAATCACGTGCGTATAATTTTAAAATTGGATTCAGGCGTGTTAACAATATACAGTCATTCAGATACACAGGCTTGTCCATTTCAATCTATAGTTTATCGTTTCCAGTTCTTCTCCTTCATCATCATCCAATATTAGAATAATGTTTAGTTATGCGGGTAAACGCTTAACCATACCTGCGCTAAGCATCTTGTGCGGGGTGAACTTGGACTTGGAGTATTTCCAGTCGATACATGGCAATCCTGTTTGTGTAGTCTTAGCTAGTCCACGATAACTAACACCTCGTCCTCTATAACACCCGATACCAATGTCTATAATATGAAAAAAAAAATATGTTACAGATATAATGCTATCATATAACATCCATGTCATTGGTCTAGTCTGATTGGTTCGCTAATGTCTTCTTTTTTTATTTTATTGAACTTGTAAATCCCTACTGTGGAATACGCATTCGCATATCGACTGTATGTGATACTGTTTTTATATTTCTATTGATATAATGTCCAAGTGTCACATGGACATTAATACGGAATACATCAGCCAAATCTACAAATAATACACAAACACGCTGACTTTGAACAAAAAACGTACTGCTGAAGTAACGAAGACAGAACAGAGCAATTCATTGAGTGTGGGGTAAAGGTTAGGCAAGGTGACGTTACCTTCTGCAATGCAGTCAACTTCGTCAGAACCATCAGGACAGTCAGTGCGGACATTACATCGATAATACGGGCTGATACATGTACCGTCTTTACAGGTGAAGGCAAAAGAAGGACATCTACCTGAGGGTCAATTTACAGTTCTTATATTTTGTTCATTATGGAAACTCTATGTTTTAAAAAAGCGAAGTCTGCAAATGTTTGAATACTCCTTACGTCTAACATGTCGAATAACTAATTCAATAGTCTATGATATCAACTCATAGACATGTGTCTCGTATTAACAACAGCAATATTTACTTTCGTAAATAAAATGAATAAATAAACAAATAAATAGCTCACCTTCCTCGTCAAGGTAATATTCACAGTTCTCTTCGTCACTTCCGTCAACACAATGCTGTGATCGGTCACATCGGTTGAACTTGGAAATGCATTGCCCGTTACTGCACGTGAACTCGCTGTCTGAACACGTTTCAGCTGAAAATAACACATGAGAGAAGTTTTCATTATAATGATTGGCTGCAGCTGGTGAGTTCACTTTCATCAAAATAAAAGGAGCCGATATTGATTGCACATAAGATGGATGTCCACCGTTTACAATAATATAGATACTTTTTTTCAATAGATGCACATAAAACAATACTTACATATACTGCAAGAATCCCGTGGGAGTCCTACATCACAGAGTTGCCAATGCACCATGGGGTCGACTGTGTAACACCAGGGTGAATTCTGACCAAATGCTTGACCAGGATTTCTACAATGGTTATGATCGCCCAATCCATGTCCTTTCACTTGGTCCGGTGAGTAATTATGTTCATGTGGGGTTTGTTCTGACCACGCTTGGCACGGGATCCCGTCAGTGGTCGTGTTTACTGTACCACGGTAGTCGGCACCTATTGCATTCATATAACATTCCCCACCTAAACAATTAAACAGAGCAAACACTTTGTTTATTGTTCACTTGAAGCGAATAATAGCTAAATAAGTAAATAAAGACATAGCACGGAATGATACTGTATATAATTATACAATGTATATTCAAATACAATAAATACGTCACGATCCGATTGCGAAAATAACGTGATTGATTTATGTTAAAGTCATGTGAAAATAACACGTGTCAATGAAGCGCAGTAAACAAGTTGCAAGAAAGCATTGACCACGGTGCATAGTCTCTGCTTGTATTTTGTGACTCTTTCTGGTTGTATTAATAAAATTCATGGTTACCACAGTCAGCCGTCGACCGATTTGCAATTTTATATTGATGCAATTGCACTCGATTGTTCAAAAACAGAAACCCATCACGTGATCCAGTCCCCAACTTTTATCAGATTCGAAATTAGAATATACGAACACGTGAAAACAACACGAGCTTTGAATTCATCATCTCGAAAGATACGCATTGTTACTAGCATCATAGTCACATTGGAATGATAATTTTCCATAACGGACATAGAGCTTGAATTGTATTGTATGTGTGGTTGTTACATCCTAATTATTTGGTGCGTTGTCCTCATACAGACTGAGTGTTACTTGTTGACTTACGGTAATCACACTCCCACTCGTCACTCCAATCGCCGCAATGATTTCGACCATCGCACATAAAACGTTTCTTGACACATCTCAAATTCAGGCACGTGAACTCTGTTCCATCTTCACATATGTTTTTGACTAAAAATAAACCTAATTGTATGTTATTTACCCGGTATAATGAACGATTTTATCTAAAAACATAATCTTACAATACAATGTTAAAATGTTAATAATATGACTAACCATCACCACAAGTCAGTTGCCTAGTCCCGGCATCGCAGTACTCCCAGCGTGAGTCGGGGTCGGTCGTGAAGCACCATACACTGGCCTCGTTGTCTGGATTTCTGCAGTAATTATGATCACCGATACCCGAATTACGGTATATATCAGGCGTTCTAGTGTGTTCGTGGGGATCTTGTGATGTCCATCGCTGACAGGTTTTGCCATTGATGGTTACATTAACCACGCCACGATAGTCATATGCATTGGCGAGCATATAACATTCACCGCCTGAAAACGACGATGTTACCGAAATTGAAAGAAAAAAACACAATAAGGCAATGAGATAATATATTATGCGATATCTGAGTTTTGTATAAGATCCAAATGACGTAATAAATATGCCATCATATCTCATAACTTTCGATCAAGTACTGTGTACAATAAAATACAACTGACGATGTTTACTTACGGTATTCACAGTTCCACTCATCTGACCAATCAGTGCAATCGTTTTTACGATCACAGACGCTATCAATGGATATGCACATGCCGTTGAGGCATTCATGTTCTGTGTCCACCTCACAAGTTGCTGAAATGTGTATACTATTCGTTAATACATAGAGTAACCCCACAGCATTACTCTGGACAAATAGTTAATATAACATATATCTGATATCACAAATGTCACATTCTGTTCACCCTGTATATTGATTCAGCAGCTTTTAAACGCAAAATACTAACGCGGGAATCGTCATTCTTGGGCACGGAGTGTCGTGTCTCATTTGCATTAATGGTGCCTTACCGATATGCATATCTTTTATTATGTAATTAAAACCCCTGCAATCTGATTGGTCCACACAAGATGAATTGACTTATGACATCATGACTGACTGTCACATACGCCAATATCTCAATATGTTGATGGTTGTACACAATAATTCATTTAAAAAATATATTAATTCAGATATTTCGGGTATTTTCAGATGTTATAAAGTTGCATATATTTGTGACGTCAAATTCTAACAATACCATCTTCTCCGTAATCAGAAATATGTTTTATCGGAACACCTCCATGCTGTATGACATTTACACCATATTTACGATTGCTAATCAAGTTCAATCTGACTACATTACAGCTTTTTTATACAGAGATTGAACGATCATTGTGCGAAAATTATTACACTGCCTAATTAAACACATCCGCCCTAATATATTGGATAAACTATAATATAATGATATAAACTTTGTGACAACGTTGAAATAACATTGTGTATGTAATATTATATAAAGTTGTTGATTATACAGATTGTTTGTACTTGGAAGTTTTGTTCCTACTGAGGCGAGGCTGTCACACATCATAGCAGGGATAGTAATGAGCTTTCAATATTCATAGATTGTAATATTTCTAATATTATTATATGTGAGATAATTAATATTACACCTTTTAAATTACTGATTTTTGGTGATATGTTAAAGAATGTTACAATATTACAACTCACGGTGATCGCACCCCAATTCATCTGTACCGTCCACGCAATCCGCAAAATAATCGCACACCTTTGAAATGGGGATACAACTTGAATCGCCACACATAAATCCCCGGCATGTCACTGAAATTAAAGAGCGACACTAGTTTAAAAGAGTTCGCTTTGTGAGGCAGTGTAACGAACTATATAATGCCGTGTTTGTGCGATGTTTTCACTTACCACACTGTGTCCTCGTTTCATCCTGTCCTTTGTAACACTCCCTAAAACCGTCGCATACGTTCTCCTTGGGTATACACGTAATTCCCCTCGAACCCCCGTTGTCACACTTGAATTCATCAGTTCGACAATCTGTTAATTAATTTTTAAAGTCATCTTATATTTTTCATTTGTATACACATATCAACTCGGCTTATTTATGTCATGGAGATCGAAATCTTGAGTTATTCATTAGAGAGGCGGCAATTACTTCACAAGCTTTGTCTCGTGTTCGATAACGCATTGTGGTTTCAGTTTCATGGTAGTTATTAACAAAATGATAAGTCAATATTTGTATCATGAACTGTTTGAGCTACCGTAACATTACATATTTGTAATCATCATCTGCTATATGCAGTTGTCAAATAAGCGAAACAAGGTAACCAACCAACCAAGCAACGAACGAATGAATGAATTAATCTAATTATTAACACTAATTATTTCCTAATATAAAACACTTAATTAAATGTTCAGAAATTTACGAGTTGTTACTCCATGGGGCTATGTTTGTTTATTGGTTTCGGTTATGACTCCCCTCGCTGTCAAGATGTTGCTTGAAATTTACGAATCTAATTACAATATTAACTATCGAGAGACCAATTATAATGTCATTAATTCTACTCCTATTGTCGTTCACTCATTATCTGTAGGAAATCGACTTTTGAAGCAGAGGACACATTGACCGTTACGGTCTGATTCGGAGTTATTAGGCAAGGGCACATGTGAAAATAATGTAATAATTCTTTACACAAATCTCCCGACGCTCAACTCGACTATGTGTTCGCCTTCATTTCTCTTTATACCATTGGTAACGGCGATTCCCATCTCCGTTACCATGAAAACTGTATCATGCCTAACTTTTAAATCTTAAGAAATATGCACCAGTTGATTGCATTTGGCAGATATGGGGAGGGATGAAACCCAACACTTGTCTAACTGAGTAAGAAGGCACAACTTTTTTACATATCGATAGTAAAATAACTTTTGTAGTGAGTAAACCTACCTTCTTCGCAGTATTTTTCATCACTCCCATCTGGACAATTACGTGTTCCGTCACAGACTAGCCAAGATTTGATGCATTGCCAACCATGGTCGCAGGGGAAATCATCCTCAAGGCAAACAGCTATTGATTAAAAAGTAAAACAGTCGTTGCGTGATGAGATAATAAGCAAATACAAGACCAAATACTACTGTAACACCAGTGTGTCTCTTAAAATAATGAGGCAAATAGCCGCAGTGGAATGACAGATGAGACAAAAGTTGTTTGTTGATTAAACATAATATGTCAAATGATATACTATATACACGTGTGTACATTAAACTAATATACACCCACCTGTTTTACTTTGATAGTAGTTTGTTTTTTGGTAAACTCCAAGACCTGTATCTGTTGTATCAGGGGTTTCTGTACTCATGTAGCAATTACCGGAAGGGAACGCAAAGTCGGCAGAGTGACAGACGAATGCAGCACCGTCGAGGCAATGACGTAGACATTGGTCTAAATAAACACCTCTGATAACCTCGTCGTTGTACGATGTTAAAGCTCTGCTCACAGTTTTGTGGAAATGGTCTCTTGGAAATGCTGGGGAAGACATTGAGAACATTAAGTGAGCGGCATTATAAAAAGCAGCATACAAAACGATATACAATCTGAACTGGAAAACACATTTAGGAAAGTAACAAAATAGAAAAGAACTAATATCAACACGTATACATGTTACCGTCGGTGGTCTAAAGGATTAATTTTGTTATAAGACCAAAACAGGTCAACAGTAGAATGTTCGTTTCCATGTGTGATGTTTATTTCCATATAGGAAATTTTGTATTGCACTAATTACACATTGTAATGGTTTTTTTCACTTGATTGAAATGTCAAATGTTTATTTTTTTTCCAAACTAACTACTGTAAAAATAACAATATTTATTGCAACGTGCATATAGATATCGACAAATGAACAACGAGTTTCATGAAATTCGCATTTAGAGCTACATAAATAATACATTATTGTGGAAAAAAGCGACCTAGAACACTACACACACCTACCTATCTTTATTTCTGAATGGATATACTGCATGTCTGTTACTAAGACCACATTTGATGTTTTCATAGAGTATGTATTCAAGTGGCATGTCCCAGCCATAGAGAAATCAATGGATTCGCAATCAAGTTTGGTGTCTGCTAGACATAAATACAGACAGTCTTGCAATGTTTCGGCCACCAACGTTTTGTTATGAGCATACGAAGATGCAAAGCTTTCAAACTGTTCAAAGTGGTTGAATGGAAATGTTTCTGTAGGTAAAAAATAATGTTATTGTTAGAGCTAAATTTTGTTCCATGGAAGTAGGTTTATATGTTCTGCAACCCACAGGTGTGTGGGTCACCAGGGTGACATTTTGTTTTGAGTAAGACTTATATACCTACGATGAAAGCGACACTAGTAATTCATTACCTGCAATGACTTGGTAGTGGTTGAACTCTGGATGGTCGACCAACTCCGCCTCAGCAGTCCATGTGTTCTCGATGTTAATGTAGCACGTTTGGCGAGTCTTCCAATAATCAACAGAACGGCAGTGGAATATTGTCAAACGTAAGCATGTCTCCATACACGACTCTGTGTCAATGTTCGATATCTTCACCTCGTTATACCCACCAAGAATATATCCCTCAGTTACGTTGAATTTATTGAATGGGTAGTTGGCTGTTATTTGATATCAAAAGGGACAATTACTAAATGCACAGTAAATAAGAACATTCTATATATTCAAGACATTTCCGATTCGTTATTGTGACTTCATATCAGAATATGGTGTATATGAACTTTGCAAGAATTCCAGGTTCATTAGATGGTGATTTTCAGCAACATTTTATCAATAAAAAAAATCAGTGAGATACAATATAACTCAAAAGTGGGATAAACGAGGTATTTGGACATTATTATTCGCTTGGTTCTCCGTTTCATCTACGCGTATCGCAGGTGTGCCTATAACTTACAGCCTATATATTAAGTGGTTTATAGTATTAGTATTAGTATAAAATAAAGAGGCATTACCTGTTCTGTATTCATAGTAACTTGTAAATGTGTCAGAAACTAGGCCGCCACTCATCGTTGTAGCACTATCTGACAGCAAATTACAAGTTCTGTTTGAGGTATTGTAATTTATAGATCGACATTTGAACATGCTTTCGTCGATGCAGCTAACCATGCACTCTGCCTCAGTGGAATTAGTCACAGTTTGTACAGCTGTAGTTGGGAGGTAGTGGGACGCAGTTTTCAGAAATTCGCTGTTTGGGAACGTGATTTCCATTTTACCTGGAAATTATACAATGAGTTGATGAACTATGTTGAATCATTGGATGTTGGCTGCCCACGTGACCTAGTCCAATGTATAACAAAAGACATCGATCTAGCTATCAAGTCATGGTATATAAGGGGAATGATCTAATGATAACGGCACGACTAGCTAGCCAATCTGTGATAACAACAATAGTCACATGACACAGAAATCTGTGAATAGTTTATATTATCTCATTGCTCATATTGTGTCATTGTGCTTTACTTATATTTAAAACATAAATATATTTAGTTTTTCACTGCGAGAGGGAGAGAATTAACATATTTTTCGAGTTATGAGCAATTGAACAAACTGCATAATACTAACAATTGTGTCCTGAATAAGCTTAACAAATAATTGGATTCTCAGCTGACACTAACGACTCAGAAGCCAGGACTACGCCTGCTTTACGACTTCACGGCTGAAAATAACTCCACTATCTAAACAACACACTGAAACTTTCAGGTCAGCTACTTCTATGTTTGCAGCGGAGAATTATGACCAGTAACACCATGGGTTCTCTTTTGAATTCTATTTTGAAAACCACAAGCAGTTTCAACACGACCGGTGTAAAACTTGTGTAAGTTTTCTTGGTACTAAGCAGCGCTAACAATTTCAGGCTTCTTCCTAAAGCAATGCTTTAACAATCAAGTTTACCTCCAAAACAACAAATAGTTATTTGCTTACCAGATACGCTATCAATGCATCCAACGTTTTTATCCACGCATGAACCGTCCCCACAGCGTACGAATGTTCCCGGACACGGCACTAGAACAACAAACATCGTGTACAATCGTGAGTTTTTCTTTGTGTTTTTTACTCAAACACAAGATTGTCAAATCATTCATTGTGTAATGCAAATTGTTAGTGAGTAAACTGTTGAATTGATTACGTGTTCGTATATGTTGAATGCAAAAATCACTTACTGTATGTATTGCATGTTTTAGAATCTACGTTTTCACCACATCCCATATACGTACTGCACTCGTTCAGCTGACTAGAACATGTACCATCCGGACATCGAAACTTGCTGTTGTCGCATTCAGCTGAATAATGAATAAATCGTACACAAAATTAAGAACAACAAAAACATGTGTGTTTCTGACCATTATGTGCTTCATATTTAACAAGGTCCTAGCCTTTTTTTAGTTTTGTGTCAGAAGATGAAAAAATTTAAAGAAAGAAAGAATCAATCTTCATGAACAATTAAGCTAAAAGCACGTGTTTTTGTATAATTTTGAAATTAGAATAAGAAATGCGTGCATGGATTTTGAAATCATTGATATGCAGTTTGGTATGTAATGACAGGTCTCAGGACGGTTATACCTTCAACGTATTAAATATTTATGTGTACATTTTAGCCAGAGCAATAAATTGATGCAAAATATAATAATTGTTTTCCATAGAATATGATGATTATAATTATTAGTTATTATAAACTAATAATACTGAGTCACAAAAAATGTGTCTGAAATATATTTCAAGATTAAGTAATTTAATAATCTTTAATTCTGCATGATAAATATTCTATTGCTTATCGAATCTTTAGATGTGCACATATGGCTTAACTATTCTATTAATTATATGTTAATTATATATTCGCACCAGTATAATCTGTAATATACAGTATAAATAAAATAAATCAAGGAATAGAAAGATTTTACCGTATGTACAATTCCACTCATCACTCCAGTCTCCGCAGTCGTTATTGAAATCACATGTTTTACTCTCCAGTACACATCTTTTATTTTTACACGTGTATAATCCATAAACACATTCCTCTGCAATACAATTATATACAGTGATTCAAATATGAAATTGAATTTAACATAAGTAAATAACACGGGTCACGTAAGAATATTTAATTGGAGCAATCTCCAAAACTGTCGATCAATATTCACATAACTTGATATAGCTATACACTGCATGCACTTCAAGGATGAGTTGCATATATATATATATATATATATATATATATATATATATACGCATAAAAGAAGTATTATTCATGATATATTATATACTGTAGATATATTTAAAATAATTATTACCATAAACAACACAGTTGCTTTCATCGCTAAAGTCAATGCAATCCGGCACTTTATCACAAACCCATGACAAGGGAATTCGGCGTTTGGACTGATCACATGTAAATCCATGAGTGTTATCTGTTATTTATTAAAATTATGTTAATATATTATATACTCATTTTGGCAATTGTCCATCGATGGCGAGATTCGAACTATTTCATAATAGAACTTATAATACAATCTATGATTTGTATTACTTACCGCAGTACTTCTCATCTTCTCCGCCATTACAGTGGTCTATTCCGTCACATACTTGATATTCTGGTATACATCGCCCGTATTCACCACCGGATGTACACTCAAACATAACACTATTGCAAGCTGACAAGCAAATCATAAAAAAAAAACATCGTAATGACACATATATAGTTATGTACATAAACTTAACAACAGGTATGATAGCAAACTTACCACAATTCTCTTCATCACTATGGTCATAACAATCATTCCTTCCATCGCATTTCATTAACTTTTCGATGCATACTCCGTATGGACTCCCTGTTTTACACATAAATTGGTCAACTCCACATTGACCTGATAAAATAAATCAAATGTTAATTAACTGCAATTACAATATAAACAAACGACAGGTAAAGATGTTTAACATATTCTTCCGGATTTTGCAAATTAAAAATCCCTTTATTTTATTTCTTATATTCTTATTTTTCCCATTGTGCATACAATGTACATGTATTCTGCTTTGAGAATAAGACTACACCATGCAACCAAATAATGATACACATTGATCTAATATTTTAATAGCTGCTGCCACGATTGCACGATATTGTAACATTGATGAATACCTTAAAAATTCAACATTGGTGTGTGTCTGTGTGTTCATTTTGTCTGTATTCTCTCAAATAAGAGACAAGTCTATATGATGGTCATGGTACTCACCATATATGCAGTCATCTTCATCACTGCCATCTGGACACTGCTTAGCACCGTCACACACCAGATAGGCCTTCAAACACGTGATACCATTACTGCATATGAAATCTTCTTCCAGACATGGGACTAGATACACGAAGTAGTGATTAAAATCAATGTTTGGCTGTTGCATTAATTAATCTTTCTCCCTTAGTGCCAGGTATTTGTTCAACAATTCAAAAGTATAAGGACTTTAAAGACTGTGCATAGGTGATGTACAAAGACTAATAGTTTTAGTTGTTTATTGCTCAACACAATGAGAATGTATTAATAATATCAAACCATTACTATTTTACACAATTCACATATGTACAATCAAAGGCCGTTTCAAGTGTTGTTTTCTGCAGCACATATCATTGTTAAATGGAAATGTACTTCACTATCGTGACAACACCGATACAATAGTATACACTAATAAGACGCACAGACAATGTTGACAAAGTGGTTCACAGTTATGATCATGTTCTTTACAGTGTCGGGATTTTGAAAACAACATATATAAGAATTCCCTTTTCAATCGTTCCAGCTAACTACCAATCATATCATATAAACCTCCCTATTGGTTGGAATACGTGACTAAACCATTCGACAATTAGAACAAGGTATAATTTCTCTGTTGGTGTTTCTTATGCACAGCGATGATGGAACATCAAAAATATCAACTCACGATTGTGCTGCGTGGCTTTTTTGCAATGTCACTTTAGTTATTTCATTTATTTCTGCATGTTATCTTTCTCCACTTGCGAGTGCAATTTCGAGTATCACTTCTTGACAAAGGTTTGTCTTTAGGTTGACAATTAATCTGGTCACACGAGCAGTGTATATTTTAGATGATATGCTTATTAAAGCATTGCTAAAAGTTTAGTTGTATTCATGTTGTATTTTTCGTAAACAAACTTGTCCGCAAATTGAGACCCTTATAAATTTGGTAATTTATGAATCTAGAACATTTGTGCCGTAGGCCAAGAAAGGTAGTCGAATCGATTATGATCACAGACGAAATGTGATATTTTCATGGAATGACGTATATAAATATACATCAGTATTACATATACGGGTATTATTAGGAATAGTGTGTGTTTACATAGCCCTCATAGAAGTCACATTACCCCGGGGTCTGACTAATTTGACCAATTTATATTGTTGTCATGACCCTATTGTTTTACTTTGCGTTCCAGTGATGTAGTATTTCGTGAGACGTAATTGTGCTGACGTGACTCATATATTTGCAAAATTAGTTAAAAATGTAAATTTTCTAATCCCATACATTACTTGATTGTCAACATCATTTATCATTTCCATTAATCATTTTCCAATGGTTGTGGTGATTCATGTACTAGTATATATCACAACATAACATGTATCACTTAAATGTAATAAAACAAATAACTTTTGTGAGTATATACAGTGGAATATCTGAAATGTGATATATATTACGTACACCAGGCATCTTAAAACGTGTGTGAATTTCATTTGTAAATATGGCTATCATATATCCACTTGTCAATAGCATATTAAACCACTTGTTAAGTTTGAACATTATATGAACGTCTTTGAAAAATATCATCAACTCTGGGGCTACGTGTTAATAAGAATATGGTTATTGTCACTCATATTGTTATGAAGCACCAAGTATGGTCTAAGAGAAAGTTGTACGTCGTTAACTTTTAAGAGTACAATAATTCGTCGTGTTCACACCATGTACCAGCATATTTAGTATCGCGGTAGTAAGTAGTGACATGTGTTACTATACATAGTTAAAAGCCCTGTTGTGTCAAAGATGAACACGTCTGTTCATTCATGACGTACCCATAATGTCAATCTACATATTTATGCAATTTACTATGTTGATACTTTACAATCTTCAAACCAAACTGCAAGAATGCTTTTAAACAACATTCAACTTTCAGGACACAGTTTTTGCAATATAAAATTGAACTAATTCGATCACGCTATTATATGTGGAAGGGGGTTAAGAGGATGAAAAAGACATTTCTAGGTCATGGACATTACAATCAAAATGAAGTTATTATGAGATTGTCAGTTAATTAATAAATTGACTTGACCTTACTCGTTATTTATATATCAACATGACTTTCGTGCATCATGTCAGTAATACAATGTCCAAGATCAATAACAACAATTTGTTAATGTAAATTTGTAAACTACAAATTCGCTGCGGGTGTGTTTCTTGTGAAGCAGTGGCAGAGGGGTATAATGTGACTGTACAGTAATTTATCAGTAGCTAGAGACCGTTTTGAGTATTATGGCTGGGACTGTGGGAACATGTTATTACAAATCGAGAGAGGTAAATGACCGCCGATTGGAGCTTTATGGACTATATTATATTGTACGCGTAACAAGTTATAATATATCATCCTTAGTGTCATCTATAAACGCAAATAAACAACGCGTATGGCATTACAAGGAATTTGTTTATGATTGTTATTATTATAATTTAAAATTTGTTATTTTTGTCAATTTCCTGACTTATAAGCTCATATTCAATGCATACCATTATTCAGAAAATATTGTGGGTCTTTTCTTGGGTGATTAATTATATCATACCCGTCATTTTATCTTATGAGCAGGATCATATAACAGTCACGCGTACATAATAGATAACGGCGAATAACCCTTTCAAAGTATAACAACGAGGCTGTCCGGTTACGTTAACGCTGTTCAATCGCTGTTTCAAAAAGTTGATTGTATAAATGTCGGTTGATAATTGATAAGGATGCTGGCCAATCACTGGCCAATGTTCTTGGCACAAGACGAGAGATGGACAACAACTAATATCATTGAAATACATCATTTCTCGTCATATTCGTCTCTAGTGAAATTCTAGTGTTTTCGCAGGTAGATATACAATCATTTTCCCTTAAATCTTTGAATTATTTCACTTTCCAAATATTTGGTGCAGCATTTGGCAAATGGCTTGTATTTTCCCAATAGACCTAATGTTTTGATCATTATTTTTCGAAAAGTATGGAAATTGGTGCACGTTTATTTTGTGAAGGGTCAAGAAAGTTCAAAACGTTTTCATTTATTTTTTTTTATTTAAATTTCAGCAGTTTTCAATAGTATTTAAAATAATTTGATCAAGCCGAGATGACAATAGGGAATGAGATCTATTGAAAAAAAAATTGACGAAACGCAGTATGGCGTTTCAAAGCGCCGTAGTTGTCAAGTAGCGTGCACTCGAATATATGAGATAAAAGTATCAATCTATTTACCATAGTAGGGTAGTATTTCCGTTCCTTCTACTGCAGTTATCAGCTCTCTGTGTTCACTGTTTCCTATAGCGGACTTACGCAGCTTGTTTGTATTGCATATAGTGACTGCCGGAAATTTCAAACTTGGCTGGGACACGACCGCGATGCTGACCGTGCTGGGATAATCCAAGTAGAGTGATACTAACACAATAAACTGTCTGATAAACGCTCCCGCGGCTACTAGAAAGCAGACGCTCCAAATAACGCGACCCAACAACGACTTGGCTCCTGCTATTCGCGGTATGCCATGGGCTGTTGTTTCCAAACCAAATTGCTTGATAAGAGCTGAGTAACTTTTCCGTGGTTTTTTTGTGACTGTTTCAGCGTCTTTATTCTCGCTAAATCCGTGGTCGCCGTTTGTCATGGTTCGGCTTTTCTTCTCACCATAATTTTCACCACTAAAAAAAGTGTAAAAAAAAACGAACATACATATTTTATTATTTGTTAATTATTGTTACTCTTCTGGGACCGGGTCGGGTCGATTGATTGAGTAACAGATGCCATCACACAAAGACACCATCATGTGTACGGAATTGATTATTGTTTATACAGTGTACAAGTCATTTGAATATTGGGGGTTACATGCAATACTGTAATGTACGAGGCGTTTAATATATATTTAAGAATAAGTAAAGGCTTGATTTGTAATTTTGTTTTATTCCCATTGTAGTGATACTGATATAGGGTAATATATATATATATGTCACACGTAAGCCGAAAGCATAACTGATAGTAAGTTGTTACATTATTGTATTGTATTGTATTGTATTGTATTGTGATTTTTGATTTACGGATAAATAAACGAAATTACATTAACGGATGTGACTGATAACTTTTACTATGAAAACCTGAGCATCCCGTGGGCAGGCCAGTCACACTGGTTCTCACTACAAGAAGTTACGATCCCCCCTGCCAAATGCTGAGGAAAAAAAAAACATATATATATACATATTTACATGAAATATTGTCCACCTATGCGGATCTGTTTGTGCAGGAATTTTACGGCCGTATGCCCTTACTGACGTCAACCAAACTTGTTGTGTGGGAAGCTGGCACCCAAGGCTGACAGGTACTTACACCTTGTCTAAGGGTGACCTGGAGGTAGTTGTGGCAAAGGGTAACATCATTCTCCCAAGTCCATAGACTCCACAACCGGACGTAGTTTAGAATCTTACCCAAGACAAATATATACAAATTTAAATAAACTTAAACGTTGCCATTATCAGGTAATACCTCACATGTGAGGTTGAGTTGGTGCAAGGTTTTTATGACCGTATGCCCTTACTGACGTCAACCAAACTTATTATGTGGGAAGTTGGCACCCAAGGCTGACAGGTACTACACCTTGCCCAAGAGTGACCTGGAGGTAGTTGTGGCAAAGGGTAACCTTATTCTTCCAAGTACAAAAAACTCCACAACCGGATGCAGTTGTAATGTCGTGTATTGTATTGTATATGTATTGAACCGGTTCGTTTGTATGTGTTTTAGTTTTCACCAATAATTATTGAATCGTGCCCAATTGAAAAGCGCTACAACATTTCTAACCACGAGAAAACAAGTCTTTGTTTGCGCATGTCTTATTACATTAGAGTACAGTCCTACTTTCAAACTGGTGTTACGACAGAATGTTATTTGGTGACTGGAAAACAACTAGGCTTACCCTATGGCCACTCGTTCTCTGTTAAACTCGTCCATGTGAATCCAAGGTGATGGTTGACCACCTGTCGCCATGGTGACGGTCAGTGTTCGATTACGTCGCTAATACACACTGCTATATTTTCCTGCAAGTAAAATCACAGTAAGAATCAAGATGTAGCCACCTGGGGGCGCAGACCTCGACTGTTATTAATGTGTAGTATGTATGCATTGTATATTCCGGTTATTATTATATTATTAACATATGCAAATGCACGAGAGATAATTAAATTATAAGCTGGTACGTCGTCGTATTTATAAACGTCACGCGCTGTCGGCTTTGAGGAAAAATGACGGTTACTTTGACACGTAACTTTGTGTGAAAAAAAACAGGTTTTATTTTTTGGCGTTTTTACCTCATTGTCAATCTCACGATTTGTTGATGGTTGTCAAAAATCAACCTCAAACGACGAGTATCGATTTAGTATTTTAATAGAAAACAACTATTCACCTCTTTTATGTATGCGTAATTATTGATTTACAGTCTATCACGTATTCATCAAGAAAAAAAAAACGACGTTTACATAACAGGTTGATTGGCATAAATTAGACATGAGGGCGTGTGACGAGTAAACGTAATTGCTGCTATAATTGACACAATTCATTGCACGCCAACGACGAGCAGATAACAATATTGACGGGTATATCATAACAAAATTGAATTGACAAAATATTAAAATTTAGCTCAGACAACTATAAATGGTCTCAATTAATATTATCGAGACATGATGTCAACCGGGAATTGGTTCGCCCAGTTCATTTGACGTAATAACGTGAATACAATTCAAATACAAACGAGTCGCTGTTGTGGTAGTTAAAATTTATATTACACAGTGAAATGGTTTTATTTATCCCAGCAATAAAGAAATGCTTTGTGCGAAAATAAATAATACTTGTCAAACGTGGAAATGAAATTATTTATTTAATAATCTAATTAATTGATGCAGATGATTGACACTGGCGTAGGCTGAGATAAATTGTATCAACGCTAATTGCACGCGTGTTTAGAAATCATGTGTTACAGGTAGCCCAGGTCATTCGAGTGCTCGTCAGTTAATTTAAACGAAATTAATCACCATGGTCCAAAAATCAAATAAAATACCATCCGTTAGTTTTAATATAAATGATTATCGATTATTTCACAGTCACTTTACCATATATTACGCGTAATTTAATTCATACAGGAATAAATAATGTCAAATGCGCGTTGAGCAAAAATGTTTTATATACTTGAGTACGTCGATGATTTCATGTGTTAGTTAGATATGCCATTAACAAAAAAGGTGCAATATCCAGAAACTAGCTAACTTGTATTTCATCTTATTATGTATGTATATTGCAGCAATTGTGACACTCTCAAATACTGCCCCTGTACTCTGCTTACTGACTAGCTGGACGTAGGTGGTGTCATCGTTCTCGCAACAACTTGTTTCAGGAAACGTCTGCGTCTGAGTCTTTCAATATGAAAATCGAAGTTGTTAAATCGTCGTGCGAACTCAGCGTCAGTTTTCACAAATGTTTATCCCGTAATGTGACTATAAGTTTAAATACAGTAAACGAAGAAAACGTGCGAGAAATGTGACTGTTTTTATAACCAGAACTTTACAACTGACTGTGAATATATACACGTAACCGGCAAGTAAGTTAATGCCATGGCAACTAAAAGGTTGTTTGTGGACACGAAGACTATCAGACATCCACACAACACGTAAGTTCTTCTAAGTGCGTTACAACAACGGACGTTATGGTGTCTGTGTGGTTAGCGCGAATCGAGCGGGAAAAACTCAAGAGCCTGTCGCGTAACTGCAAATTACAGTGTATACCAATACCTTGTTGAGCGACGGGTAGCAGGACGCCTCACACGACTGTGCTAAACTGTCACCGTGTTCTCACTAGAAAACGTTACGCCGACGTAAGTTGCGCCCGATAATTAAAACGATAAAGATCGCATAGTCTTGCGTACACACCAACATTTTTACAAGAGACGTAAATATGGCGGTCACTGTATAATGCACACAATGGTACTGACTCCTAGATAGATATTATTTCGATTAACCATAAGTTGTGCTCTTTTGCAATTGAGCAGTAATAGTTAACTTTTCTGGGATATATAAAATGTCATAATGATACAAATGCATGATACAATTGTTGGAACATGAAGCTAATCTGTTTTTAGTTCTATGTTGGGACCAGTCAGTCGAATTTAACAACGTATATAGGTTACTATAACAACAAAACTTAACTCAAAATTTGACACACATTGCGATCCTGCTTATTTTGAAATAAGATAAACTTAAATACAATTGTCCGAGCAGTACAGTTTAGTTTAGGACGTCAATGCACTAACAATACCTTTTGCAAATGAACGCTGATGTTGCCTCTACCATTTTTAAACCCTTACGCCGGCGTGTTTTTTCTCCAACATCGACGGAGTAAATGGACAAAAAACAGATGTAAACACGATATGCGTCAGTCACTGAGCGTTGTCTGTTTGTGAGTGATTTCAGACTCGCTACGCGCTAACAATATAACGCTATGGTTGTATATTATGGTGAAACTTGTACATTTTGACGAATTAAATACGAACAAAAAAATGAAAATATATAGATTGTTACAGACGAGATAGCACAACAGCTATTTTAACATTGTAAACACAAATTGGTACCAACACATAACTTACCTGATGTCTCTCCATTAATTATCTACACAATATATATTCATATCTCCAATACACCTTTGTTGTGAGCGGGACTTCTATTAAAAAAAAGCTTTTCACTGAAACCGATCATATCATCATGTTGACGCCACAGCAACACTTCCTCCGTCACTGGAGGGCGAGGTGCGTTGTTGTTGCCTCAGAAAACGCGAGATGTTCGTATAGACCTAGCTCGAGCCATTCCATTAGAGCGCGTCCGTTCCATTAGAGAGCATTCCATTAGAGAACGGTCATGTGACGTGTGATCACCTGACAAATGCTGGATACACGCTCTAACGGCAAATACCGTTAGGTTTAGCGAATTTACGAACCGTTACGAAAGAGTTTGCTCATTCGAAGGCCGTTTTTGTAAAAGCGACAGCCTTGATCGATACACTGTTCATTTACACAATCTTTCCTGGCACCATACGCACTCACACTGTTAGCGGCGGAGTGAAACGCGCCCATGTC